GACCACATGGATGGCTGGTCCGACAGGCGGAACCAACCGTACATTAATATGATGGTGTCATCCCCCATGGGAACGGTATTCTGGAAGACCACATGCATGGTCTTCCAGAATACCGTTCCCATGGGGCATGACACCATCACATTAATGTACGGTTGGTTCCGCCTGTCGGACCAGCCAGCCATCTACAGCATGCAACCAGTGCGCTGCCACTTCTTCATCATGGCGTGCACGTCCACCTTCGTTCTTCCGTAATGAACATCCAGCCGCTTCGTCCGCGCCTCATCCCTCTTGTATGGCATCCACGAAGGATGCGCCTTCTTCACAGCATCAACAAAATCGAGGAAGTATTCGTTGTCAACGATGCTGAACGGCTGGTTCATGCAGAAAAGGAATCGGTCAAGGAACCGACTCATTTGCTCGTTGCGTGTTACGATGCTGTCGGCGTTCTCCATGACCGTCTGCCTCAGCGGCCGTCTGGAACGGGGTGCAGGCTGCACGGACTCGCCAGAGGTAGGCACGATCGCGGCGGGTTCATCGGCCACAACCGCCTCTCCCGCCCCTGCAGGCGAGTCAGTTCGACCTCGCTCGGCGTCAGCGACCAGACTACTAACGGACGCCAGGCTGTTTGTGGCCGGCCTGCTTCTCCCCCCCGCATGTATGGTCTCCGCAATGAACTTCCCCATGCGGATGCCCTCCTCCCTCCTAGCCCTCTCCTCCACTGACAGCGGCCTCCTGACGAGGTCCAAGCTGCACTTATTCATGAAATGGGTCTTTAGAACCGAGGCTGTGCCATCGAACCGGGTCTCGCAGTACTTGCAGACCTAGTGCTTGGAACCCTTGCCCGGGTTTGACCCCGCGGCACCCTCGTTGATGAAGTGCTTCTTCAAGTCTTCATGCAACTGCTTCAAGTACGCCATAATGAACCTGCACACGGCGTAAAAAACGGTGAGAACATCTGTCAGCCTTATGTGACATTGGAAAAAAAAAAAAAAAAAAGCCGAAGGAGGAGGAGGAGAGAGAGGGAGGAGCAAGATCTAACAACTTGCGAAAKAWTKTGSGAAAAAAAAAAAGACGAAGGAGGAGAGAGGAGGAGGAGAGAGAAGGAGGAGAGAGAAGGAGGAGGAGAGAGGAGGAGGAGAGAGAATGAGGAGGAGAGAGGAGAGAGGAGGAGGAGGAGGAGGATGGAGGAGGAGGAGGAGGATCTACAAACTATCGAATTTGTTCGATGAGGATGATGGAGGAGGAGAGAGGAGAGAGGAGGAGGATGAGGAGGAGGAGGAGGAGGATGGAGGATGAGGACGAAGGAGGAGGAGAAGGATGATGAGGATCTGCAAACTTTCGAATTTCGAAACCCTAAAAAAAATTAATTGTGGCCGAAATATTTTGCCGAAAAAAAAAAAAAGACGAAGGCCGAAATATTTTGCTGAAAAAAAAAAATTGTGGCCGAAATATTTTGCCGAAAGAAAATAAATTGTGGCCGAAATATTTTGCCGAAAAAAAATAAATTGTGGCCGAAATATTTTGCCGAAAAAAAAAAAAGACGAAGGAGGAGGAGGAGAGAGAGGGAGGAGCAAGATCTAACAACTTGCGAAATATTTTGCGAAAAAAAAAAGAAAGACGAAGGCCGAAATATTTTGCCGAAAAAAAAAAAATTGTGGCCGAAATATTTTGCCGAAAAAAAAAAAGACGAAGGAGGAGGAGGAGAGAGAGGGAGGAGCAAGATCTAACAACTTGCGAAATATTTTGCGAAAAAAAAAAAGACGAAGGAGGAGAGACGAGGAGGAGAGAGGAGGAGGAGAGAGGAGGAGGAGAGAGAATGAGGAGGAGAGAGGAGGAGGAGGAGGAGGAGGAGGAGGAGGATGGAGGAGGAGGAGGATCTACAAACTATCGAATTTGTTCATGAGGATGATGGAGGAGGAGAGAGGAAGAGGAGGAGGAGGAGGAGGATGAGGATGATGGAGGATGAGGACGAAGGAGGAGGAGGAGGAGGAGGATCTGCAAACTTTCGAATTTCAAAACCCTAAAAAAAATAAATTGACGAAGGAGGAGGAGGAGGAGGAGGAGGACGAAGGAGGAGGAGGAGAGAGAGGGAGGAGCAAGATCTACCAACTTGCGAAATATTTCAACGAGATAATAAAAAAAAAGACGAAGGAGGAGGAGGAGAGAGAGGGAGGAGCAAGATCTACCAACTTGCGAAATATTCTGCCGGAAGAAAAAAAAAAGACGAAGGAGGAGGAGGAGAGAGAGGGAGGACCAAGATCTACCAACTTGCAAAATATTTTGACAAAAAAAAAAAAAAAAGACGGAGGAGGAGGAGGAGGAGGGAGGGAGGAGGAGGAGAGAGGAGGAGGAGGAGGAGGGGGGGGAGGAGGAGGATTTGCAATCTTTTGAATTTCTTTCAAGAAAAAAAAAGTTGACGAAGGAGGAGGAGGAGGAGGTAGGAGGAGGGAGGAGGAGGGAGGGAGGAGGAGGAGGAGAGAGAGGGAGAACCAAGATCTACCAACTTGCGAAACATTTTGACGAAAAAAAAAAAAAAGACGAAGGAGGAGGAGGGAGGGAGGTGGAGGAGAGGACGAGGAGGAGGAGGAGGATTTGCAATCTTTTGAATTTCTTTCAAAAAAAAGAAAAGTTGACGAAGGAGGAGGAGGAGGAGGATGGAGGGACGAGGAGGAGAGAGGAGGAGAGAGGAGGAGGAGGGAGTAGGAGGAGGAGGAGGATCTGCCGACTTTTGAATTTCTTTGTGGAAAAAAAAAAAAAGGAGGAGGAGAGAGGAGAGACGAGGAGGAGAGAGGAGGAGGAGGGACGAGGAGGAGAGAGGAGGGAGGACGAGGAGGAGGAGGGAGGGAGGAGGAGGAGGAGGAGGAGGAGGAGGATGAAGGAGGAGGAACTCCCGACTCCAAACTACTTGATTTACCAGAGAGAGAGAGAGAGAGAGAGAGAGAGAGAGAGAGAGAGAGAGAGAGAGAGAGAGAGAGAGAGAGAGAGAGAACGAACCTGCTGCGCGCTGCTCGAAGCCCTGCTCACGTTGCCTGCTGCTGCTGCGTGCTGCTGCTGCTGGTCGACGAAGGTGATGGGGTGGGCACGTGCTGCTGCTGGTCGAAGAAGGCGATGGCGCGGCTCCACGAAGGGTCAACAGCGGGAGGGAATCCCTGACGGCGGGGTTCCACGACGGCAGGAGGGAATCCTCAACGGCGGGCTGGGGGGACAGGTCAACAACAAAATTAAAGAACCGACTTCCCCCCCCCAGACTTCGAATCAGGTTCAGAGTCTTCAGACTGTTCGCGCACAACGTGCGCCGCAAGTATGATCCAAAATGAATATGGAAGCAATAAGCAGTCTGATGGATACATTTTGTAGATTGTCTGACACGAGGGTAAATTGGGGTAATAAAACGATGGGTTGGTGGATTCATCATCAAGGAGTAAGCCCCCCTGAACTTCCCCAAGTAAAATGGCTTTCCTTAGAAACTCCCATTAGGGTATTGGGTATTTCCCTTTCAGCAACGGGAAAACCATCAACTAATGATGACTGTATAGCCAAACAGGCATATGCTAAGCTTAAACTCTGGAAGGGTAAGCAAACTTCTCTCTTTGGTCGTACTGTGGTGATTAATAATGTGGTTTTAGCCTCGATCTGGTATAAATCAGCAATATGGGCGTTAGATAAGAAAGGGTTAAAGGCCCTGTAGCGTCAACTATCAGCCTTTTTATGGAGAGGAAATCATGAGCTCGATATGGTAATTAGCAGGATAGCATGACAATCAGTGATTCAACCTAAGGCTAGGGGAGGGTTGGGCATCATTGAGCCTTCTTTACAAGCTATGGCCCTATCAATTCAATGGATTAAGCGCCTACTATTTAATCCCCAAATCCCGTGGAGTGTGTTGGCATGGGAACAAATCAGACGTGTTGCACCAAAAACACCTGACAACATAGATCCAATGATGTGGCTCGAAAATAGGTATTGGACCGTTCCAAGAGGGCTAGTGAGCGAACCGATAGATCATAGTGCTTCAGATAGGAAGGCGGCAATAATGGATTTACATAATGATTCGTTTTGGCCTAACCTCATCAAAACATGGAGCAAATTACCATTAACAAACCGAAACCCTCGTGAAAGATGGGAAGAGATATGTCAACAGCGACTCTTTGATAATAGTCTTCTCAAAGATCCTCAAGGATGTGTCCTTCACTGTGCAGATTCCCCCTGGAAAGGGTGGGTTAAAAATGGTATTGTTAGAATAAAAGACATCTGGAACCGTGAAGAAAGTGGTTTACCCCTTTACAGTTACGGACCCACCTTTAGAAAATTTGATTGAATGGATGCCTTTGGATTGGGTAAGGATTCTAAAAAAACGTCCTTAGTTATTAGAAGGTGATTGGGTTGCTATGAATGATCATTCAAATATCTTAAGGTAGTATTGTAATAGTTTTGGAGAATGGGGAGGTACTCCTCACTACCTATGAAATGGATAGTAATCAAATGGTTATAATCAAGGACGGGAATACTATAAGGAGGGTGACAAAAGATCAAGTATTCAGGATCAAAGTATTGAGGTAAAAAGATAAATGGATAGCCTTTAAACCTAATACACCCATAAGTCATCTGCCCCTTGATCCTGCTAATTGGAAGTGAACTAATACAGGAAGGAAAGGAAGAACGTATTTTTATGCTCTTCACACGTTATTAGTGAAATCCACTTACAGGATGCTTCGCCCTATTTTTTTTTTTAAAAGACAATAAGTGGACCCGCTGCAGCTACGCTGCGGCTCAGAAGAGGGAATGTTCCATGGGGCGGCAAAACGGGTGAAGGAGCAGCAGCGGAGGGCAGCTGCAGGTCGGAGGCCGAGGCGGCGGCGGCGAATCCATGCGGGACCCCGTCTGCCCC